GCACACTTATCCATCAAAGTATTTGATTAATAATAAAAATAGTTAAACAAATAATTAAATAAACATACACGCACATATGCACATGCACTCATCAAACTATTCGGACTAATAATAAAAATAAATAACCAAATAATTAGATAAACATACACATATATGCAAACACTAACATATGCACACACATTCATCAAAGTATTTAGATTAATAATACAAATAATTAAATAAACACACACACATATATATATATATATAGGTAAGGCTATGGAGTCTATTTGACTTGGTGCTAACTTAAAGCTTTTGCAGAAATAAACAGCAGCCTTGACTAAGCATGTCAAACGACTGACAAAAGCTCAGCCTGAACCGAAAGAAGCTGTCGCGCTGACTACACCAACCTAGACAATGTGGTGAAATCAAGCGACTACAGAACAATCGGAATCATTCATCAACAAATAATTTAAGCTTGAAGGCGATTGCTGACGAGCTCACTTTCATTTGGCGTGAAAATGTGAGGTGATAAGATTTGTATGGAAGTTGTTTGACCTTGTTTTCGCAACCAAAATGATAATTTAACAGTCGGACCACACGAGTTGTGGTGTTGTGCTAAGAATGACAAGGCACATTGACGCTGCCGACGAAACGTCCGGGAATGTACCATGTCCATGGTCCGACTCTGTAAATGATCATGCATCCAATGGACTCCGGACTAGTTGTGTTCCTCAAGGTCTTCCTGCCAATATGACCAAGCTACAAAAAGAAGGTCAAACAACTTCGCTACAACGAAAGGAGACTTCGAACACACAAAAGTCCACACCATCTTGGTCTTCATACCTTCAAAAAGATTCGTATTTCAATCACAGCATACGTAGAATAGTCGCTTGGTCATCCTCATCAGCGGAACGAATTCTGAGGTTCTGGTTAACGCAGTCTTCGAGCCGCCCTTCCTCGGCTCCGGAGAAAACAAGCCGAGCTTTCCTCTTTAATTCCACTTTACAGATATCATCAGAGCTTGAGAGCATTCTTGTAAAAACATTAAGTTAAAAAAGACAATCGGCTTATCCCTAGTCATGCATACAATCTGGAATCTTGGCAGGTATAGAAGGCGAAGAAAATTTGGGTTTCGATGAATCTCTTGTTTCATAATTGTTGAGCTTGCTTCCATTTCGAGTGAAAGGGACGGACGAAAGCTTAGCACCTTTTCACCGGAATCGAAGAAGATTTCCTCGGAAACAGCGTCAGCAGGAATGTTCCAGTAAAGCCAATCAACAGCTGGTCAAGAGGAATCGGCCGTCGTCTTCTGGTGGAACCGACCTTCGAATCTCTCCATCCACCACTTTCACTCGAAATGGAAGGAAGCTCAACAGGATTAGAAGAGTTTGATTTGTACATTATTAGTTGTCCTCTTTACCTAATTTGCCTCTTTTACCTATCTCCATCCCGTTTCTTCAGGCGCCAACTATCCTTTCGTCTCGCTCTCACACAAATCTTTTCCTTAACACAATTTTACTCATGACACATTAGTCACTTATTTGTCAAGCTTCTTGTGCTTAGATGCATTTCTGAACTTGCGCGCATGCGTGTGGGCATGTTTTCGAGTCGAAGTTGAAGGCCAGGTGAACTTTCCGACTGATTATAATGGGACATTACAAATGTATTAGGTAGCAGAAGTATAATACAATTTGCTTGCATGTGATATGAGACGGATCAGTGAGTCCAAGTGTTGCGTAATACCAAAATCAAGGCCGATTGAGTTGGTGGGATTACTGTACTTTGACTCTCAGACATTCGCCCAAGTATTTTTCGTATTTAAGTAGAGTTTCGAGACTACCAGTAAATCAGTAGTATG